CCCCTCGCCCCCCTCCCTGACCGCTCCCCTCTGCACCCTCCGCCTCCTTCCCGTGGCTTTTGTAGTTCCTGCCACTGATGTGATCAAATTTAAGAGCAAACAAGAGACCAGCCCCTTGCTTTGGCCACGCATCCCTTCCACCCGCCCCTTTCTCTGCTCGGCTTCTTGCCACAGTTTCCACTCCGGCTCCGGCTCCGGCTCCCGCTGACCTCCTCGCCTCCTGTTCGCTTTTCTGCCGTTTGGAAACTGGGTTTTAACCCTTCAGATCTGTGAGGCCTGACCCGCCTGCCTTTTCTCGGTCGGTGACTTAGGTCCCGGTGAGGGCTCGGGCTGTCTGTCACCCGCCGGGTCGTCTCTCCCACTTGCCTGACTTTATCATCACGATGCACATATTTCCAAGTCCTCAGCTCTTGTCCTGCTCGGCCTGGGACCCGGGCCCTGGGCCCTGATGGCCACTAGATGCAGTTGCTATGGAAATCCTGGGAGCAAGTGAAACTCAACTGGCCTCTTCTCCAGCTCCCTTTCTCAGTGGAAGCCACCACCATCCACCTAATTTTCACAAGTTCACAATTTTAGAGCATCCTTGACTCTACTTTCCCCTCTGTCTTCTCCCAAAATTGGCAAATGACTGGTTTGGTCCGTGCATTTTCTCTGGCATTGGCCCAGGTCCCGGTCCCACGATGTCCGCCTCGCACACTGTCCTCAGGTTTACCTGGAAGCACAGAGGAGACTCTGGGGCTTCTCCGTGAGACCCCCTAATATTCGCTTCACTTATGGGATAAAGCAGAGGTGTGCAAAAGTCAGACCCCAAGCCAGGGGCAGTATTGTGGGGGGCTGGAGACTGAGCCCTGGCTTCCCAGACCCACACTGGGCATTGAGTCTCATGGGGGGTGAGGTGCATTAACTCCCAGTTACTGGGGATTGGAGCAATTGAAGCTGTGTATTTCTGAAGGCGTTTGGTAAAGGGACATCATGAAGGACACACTTAAAGGAACCTTTGGACGCAATCATAGGTATCAACTCAGTGTGCATTCATTTTCACACACACGTGCGCACGCATACACCACACGCAAGTTAATAATAAAGCCTGGGCTCTCCCAGGCTTTACAGTTTACATAGCACTGTGTGCCTTCAGGATAAAGTCCGAACTCCCTAGCCTGGCCGGGGAAGGCCTTGGTGACCTGGCCCCTTCCACTTCTCTGGCCTGTTCCTCCCGAGTCCACCCAGCCCCTAAACCCCTGCAGCACTCAGACACCTGCAGTTCCTCCCGCTGGGCCTCTCCCTGGGACACCCCCCGGCGAATCCCTCCTCCCCACTCAGGCCTCAGTGTGGGGGGCCCTCCCGGTTAGAGCTACATCCCTATGGGCCTCCCTCAAGTCTCAGCCCCGGGCACTGCAACGGCTTATCTCCTCTCTGCCCCTTCTGTCCCCACCAGCCTCCCGGGGCGCAGAGCTCGGGGGGCTTCCTCGCCATCGGCTCCCGGTGCCCGCGCAGAGCTGGGCACGCAGCAGGCATTCGGGAAGCGTGCTTTGACTGAATGATGGGATTCTTCACTTGGGTTCCTTGAGAGTCTATTATTTAAAACAAACAACCAACCAACCAACCAAAAAACCCCAGCTAAGCATAGTGTAATTGATTTAAAAGAAGACAACTGACTTTTTACTAAAATAGAAGGAAAATTGACCAGTGAGGTCATATTGGGTGGAAGATAGTAGGTTTACTTTTCCATCTATGTGCCCCTAAAAATAAAAACCAGCTTCAGCTGAGATCTAGAAACTACTCATTATGAAGAAACAGACTCATCACTTTCCTTTTTTACAAACTTAGGTCATTTCCTTCTGCTTTGTGGAGCATCCTCGGGGGGGGAAAGATAGGCTTCTCCAGGCAGGGCCTCTATTTTATTATTAATGATATGCGTGTATTGGGCATGCACGTGTATGTATTGCTATATAAATCCATGACCTGATTTCTATAAAAAGAATTGATGGCTTCTTTTAAAAAACATGTTTTTTAAAAAAACTGATTTTGTTGTGTTTTTTAGAGAGGGGGGGAGAGAGAGACAACTATTTGTTGCCTCACTTACCCACGCATTCACTGGTTGTGTCCTGTGGGTGCCCTGACCGGGGATCACAGCTTTGCCATATCTGGACAAGGCTCTAACCAACTGTGCTACCTGGCCGGGGCCAAAAAACCCATCCCCGTAAAGACCGCACAGACCAAAGGCCAGCGGCTGCTGCCTGGCCTGGGCATTGACTGACATCCCGGCTGTGTCCCCGCCCTCCCCTGACCTTCTGCAGGGCAAGTGCTCTGAGTTTTCTAGAATCATAAGCAAGGCTGGTCAGGCTGACACAGGGAGTCCGGCGAGGGGGCCGACCCCCAGGGTCTGGGGTAGCGGGCCTGGCTCCCATGGACAAGCTGGGACAGTGAGCCGTCGCCTAACCTCTAGGGCTCAGAGCCTTCAAAGACGTATTATTAGTATTCTTGATTTTGTTCCTACTGGGCCATGAACTCCTTGGGGCTGTCGTAGCTTGTTATCCTTAATATCTTAGTTTAACAAGAAGAAAAATACGATTAATGAGACTATCTTAAAATATTAGTAATAATATCCTTTGCTTCATGATGCTAGCAACGCTGCCTAGAATATAAAAGGGGTTCAATCAGGCTGGAAGGAAGGGAGGGAGGAATGAACCCATAATAAAAATCAGCGTGGCTTTTTCCAAACAGATTGTCACATCGCCCGGGGTGAGCATCCCACGGGCGAAGCCGCTGGCTCCCACCCAGAGCCCGGCTCAGCTTCTGGAACAAAACAGGAGCTGAGTAGGAGTGTTTGTAGCACAGCAAACACGGCTCCGGGATTCTTTCTAAAAAACCATTTCCTATATATCGGAGTGGCCAGTGGAAGGTACTAATTAAACAAAGAGCCCTGAAATGTTCTCGCATTTGCTGTTGTGAAAGAGGAGCTGTGGCGAGTCAGGGCCCCACGCTCACGCGGGAAGGGCTCTACGAGAGGGCCCCGCGCTTCCCTGGTCGTCGTTGCTGGATTGGCTCAGCCGTTTTCATCACGCGGGGGCCAGCAGACCACAAGCCACACCGCCCGGCCCCCAACCACAGCGGCGTGAGTCACGCGTGTGCCTTTACGTCGGTTGTCACTGGTGTGGAATTCCTGAACTCCGAGCCCCCGGCCGGCAAAGGAGGCGACCCTTAGCGAGGCCTCTTGTCGAGCACTGTGTGGCGGGAAGAATCAGTCTCGTGGTTTCGTCAGTGTGTTCGATGCATGTTCACCAAATGGCCGCTTCATGCCTGTCCCCAGATCAGAACTCCCGGGGGTGCCGGGTCCGTGTTTGGGCCCTGCGCGCACGCTGCCTTATGGAAATCTTGCAGCGGTCCCCTCGATGGGCTGTCGTCATTATCTCCGTTTCCTGGGTGAGGCCCCGAGGCCCGGAGGGCCCTGCTCTCAGAGGCTGTGCTGCCATGGGATGTCGCTCTGGATGTCTGTCTGTCTGTCCCAAAGCCCCTCTCTTCCTGCGATGCTCTATCTCGTGGCAATATCCCCATGTTTAGAAAACAGCACAAGAGGGCTGTTTCTCTAAGATACATTTCTCTAAGATACATTTGTAGTTGTCTGGGGGAAGCTAGGTGGCTGGTAGCCAACGGGAGGCCAGGAGGCGATGGAGCAGAAGTGTTTACAATGTATCTACCTGCCATCAGCTCCGTGGGTGGCCCTAGAACGCCCGCCCGAGTGAGCTGCTGGGTGATTTCCACACCAGGTCTCAGACCCACGAGTGACTTCTTGTCCTGAGCTCCATGACCGCCCACCTCCTGGGGCGGCCAGACCCCCAACCCCCTCATAAGATGGGAAAGACCCGGCCGGTGCTCGGAGGGGGGTGCACGCCTGGCTGTGGGTGACTTTACTGGCTCTGCTCGGAGACTCACACACCGTGTGCACCGGCCGATCGCTCCCCCGGGCACCGTCCATGCTCCTCGCTGTTAGCAGCAGTTCTGCTCTGTAGAGTCTGCAAACACCCAACCAGTGGGGCCTGTGGGGAGCCCAGGGTCAGGCTCCTGCCAGCCGCTGGTCACATTTCACGTGTGTTTCTGTTTAAAGACCTTATTTAATATACGTCGTGGACTTATGAACGTGGAGTTCACCACCGGCAGCTCTAACGCAGGCCTGAAGGAAGCTCGTGAACACGTGTGTTTTCTCCCGAGGCCCCGCGCAGCCTCCGTGAGCTCAGGACCGCTGGACAGGGCTCGGCACTGCACCCGGGGGCCCCTGTACACAGCGAGATCACCCTCAATGAGGGCAAACGTGCACAAAACGCGGCTCCATAAAGGCCCTTGTTTACAGAGTGAGAGTGAGACATGGAGACAGGTGTCACCTAGTCCCACCCCCACAGGTGGAAAGACTCGAAGGTTTTGTCGCTCTGAGCATGTTCCGGAACGAAGCTCGAAGCGCCACAAGTATTGACCTGGGGGCTACAAATAAACATTAGTGAGGAGGCGGGTTTCTGAGAGTACTGAGACTCTGCCGCAGAGCGGTCCCACCCCGGTCTGTCCCCAGCTTCTCCTGAATCTCCTGCTTCCATCTCATCCGGTCTTTAAGGCAAGGCGCCCGCACTCGCTGCCTCCAGGCCTTCTCTCCAGGCCCTCTCAGGACACTGGCCCTCCCTGCCCCATCCACCCCTTTTCCTGAACTTCGGCCAAATTCTTGTTCCTCTCAAAGTCACCTCTGTATGGTCACCACACCAGTGTTAACACCCATCCTCACAGGCCCAGGCCCTGCTCACCTGGAGGGTCTGGACTCCCAGGTGATGAGCAGCCTGAGGAGCCGGGCCTCCCCCAGCCCGTGGCCCCTGTCTGGGTCCCCTGCTTCTCTCTGCCTCCGTTGCACCTGGAGGAGTCACCTGCCGACTAGTCCTCTGGTCCCCAGTCTGGGTCTGAGCTCCGC